ATTTTTCTGCCTCGCAGAGTTCACCCAACTCCCCCCGCCTTCTTCCTTCACCCCCATCGAGTCCATCGTACCCCCCCTCCGTCCGGTCTCTGTGTGACGCCACTTCGGCCAGAGCAGGAGTATTGTCCCACGCAAGGAGTCCAGGTTGAGGAGTTGATTGAGTTCTCATTCATAAGTTTGTTTCGCAGAGAGAGAATATGACTAGGAAAGGAAATCAATTCCACGTCGTTGCTGTGATGTCACTGCTGAAACATTTCCTCCTCCTTCCCTGCCAAGACTGACTTACTGACTCTGCTATTTCTTCTTAATTTCAATGGCACTCGCGAGCCTCCTCTTACAGCAGCAGGGGGTTGTTTTGGTGCATGGAAGAATAAGCAGATTAATGCGGCCGGTCATATGAACCTTTGTAGCGCCTGCCTAGCAAGTTAAACATTAAATAGGCTTAGTCATCCCTCATAGTCAGTTATAGTCAGTCAAGTCCTCCTCGGTGATGTCTTGTAATCATTAAACGTGACACGGTAAACAGAAATCCTCATTCATTTAGTCACACACTAAAATCAGCATCCTGGATTCAAATGGAGTGCGCAATAAAAAGCTAAAGGATGTGATCACAGCATTTTCCTCCCTTTGCTTTAATCGATTGGCATTTCATAAGCGATTCCTCATTGAGTCAATGGGAAGCGAGTGGAAAGGCTTTCTTAAATACTGTTTGCCAATTAGTGGAATATAGAATTAAAAGTTACTTTCCCAAATCATGACTTTACCCACTTATTTGGATGTAGCATATCCCACTACCACAGTAGCCAATGCTGTTGTCCCACGTCCACTGTCCCCGTCCATGTTGGTCAGCTTGAACCCCCTGTTAAATAGGATGAAGCACAAGAACATTTGGGCCTTCAGAGCTGGCTGCTCGTCTTTGGAGACTGTGACCATGAATTCCAAACTGCAGGAAACTCTCAAAAAAAGAGGAGATTTAGGGGGAGTATTATGAACAAAGCTGACAATGCCGGTTTCTGAGTAATTTAGGGTGCATTAACCTCTTATCTTTTCCAAGAAAACCTAGATGACCTAGTTGGCAAAGAATAAGTTACATAACGTACACTCCGTCACTCTGCGAAAGGTCGACGGAGTTACGGGGTTGAAAGATTACTCAACCGTCAGGCTTAATCCGTAGGTAACGACCGAAAGAGAGGCGGGGAGGGAGAGGTTTCTGGAAGAGGGGAAAAAAAAGAAAAGTCTGAGTACATGAAAACCTGGACACACGAAAGCACATTTTACCGGTAGGAATGTGACGCGGAGCGTTTTTTTCTGAATGATTCATCAAATCACGGTTGCCGTTCCTGGTTAAGTTTCAACTCCACAAGACGTGCAACCACGCTTGATTTGTTCTTTGTGTTTCGACAATAGTATCTCTGCCTCCTTCTCACCTTTAGACTGCGAATGTAACCGCACTAATAGATCCCCACCCAGGTTTGAGCTTTATCTCCATTGTGTGTGTGTGTGTGTGTGCGCGCGCGCGTTGTGTGCACAGCGCTCAGGATCAGGTGACTTGGGTAAAGAGAGTTTTGACAGCAGCAGCAGCTACGTGGTTGATTATTAACCGTTCCCCAGAAGGTGGTGGTGATACCAGGCCAGACTTGCTCCAGTGGTTGAACAACTGGGTTGAGGTCATATGAAACAACAAAGTCAACAAAAGATAGCCAATGGGGACGTGAATGCTTTAAAGACATTGCAGAACATGAGTTTTATTTCTACACATGTACTTTGATAAAAGTACAAAGAATCGAATTGTAGTTCTCCAGCGTTTAGTCCTTGAAGAGCAACAGAGCTCAGTGAATTCTAACCAGTCTGGTGGAACCGACTGGGAAGTTAATATTTGTGAACCACACAAACACACACTGGTCCGTTCTTTTTGTCTTTGCTGTTTACACTTTGTGGTCATTGTCTATCGCCATAGCAACACATCCTGCAATTGGTCCAAAGGGGAACAAGACACAATGCAAAGTGGGGGCCATAGCTGTGGTTTATTGAATGTGTAAAATCCGGCCCTCTTAGAAACCAGGTCTGTCGTCCATGTTTCAGACAGCAGAAAAATAAAAAGTAAAAACACACCTCTACCGACTGCAACTTGAATAGGTAACACTTTGGAAGCACTTAAAATGGCATTTACTTAAAGCATTCAAGACTTTGTACTTTTGTGATTCGTGTTGTTCTGTTTATTATAGATTCAGGTTGAATGGACATACAGGAAGTCGATGAAATGTAACATATTCGGTGGGTGGAAAAGGGGGTGTGACCCTTTGCACTTTATTTTAATGCAGTTATAAATGTTTACTCAGGTATCTGGTTTTATTCACATTTTATTGAGGAACTTAGTTAGAAGTTAGAAGCTTGAAATGAGCCCTTTTTTGCGTTTGTCAATTAATACATGTGTAACAAATCCACTATCCGACAATCCTGTGGTTGGGCATCATATTGTCTCACCACAAACAAACCACACCATGGCTTGTGTGGAAATGGATAAAGGCAATGGCGTCAAAATAATATGCTCATGATGTTACAGAATGAGACACACATTAAGAAGCAAAAATACACTGTCCACACATGGCATTGTTACATTAAATGTTGGAAAACATCAAATGCTTATCAATCAAGATACACCGCACAGTTGGGATCATGTGCAGCAAAGATAAGTCATTGTTTTGCAGTGTTGGAAGTTCTGAATGTGACTCGTACAAAAGGTCTTACACACTTAAGACTAATGCAAAAACTCCCAATTTCTCAAAAGAGCCTTTTATGTTATGTCTGTTTCCCAGACACCATCAATGTGACAAAGGTTTTCTTATCTTTTCAGCCTTGCTTCACAAAATATAGTGCTTTGACAGTTTGTGACGGCAAAGGTCAAGGCTTTGGCGAAGGATTGATCAACACAACATCACACCGGGAGTGCAAGGTGGAAGTTGCCACAGGTTTTTTTTTTCTCATGAATTTCTGCTTGACTGGTTAATGCCCCTTTCCCAATACCACCTCCATTACCCCTTTAAGAGCTCCTCTCATTTCGGCTCTGAATATAGGTAAACAGAGGTGATCAATCTAACCGGTTGAAGTTGGAGATGGCAGCAGCTGGAACTTTCCAGTCAGGAGGGATATTTATGTGTAACCCTCAGGGCTTTGGGGACTCGATGAGGTTTAACTGTTCACTGGCTGGTTGTTTTACTCACGTACACACAGATTTTTCCCAAATCACAAAAAGGCTGGATTAACTAAATTCCGGGATGCATCGATGCGGCGCTAGATCTGTGAGAAGGGCCCAGCTTCTAGTAGAAACGTCTCTAATCTCTAATATTTAGACCAAACTTCTGCACGGATCCATTCTGCATTAAGATTTTGTAACTCCATGGCCGCAGTTCAACTTGGCCATCTACTCAATTAAGTCAAAAAGTTGAGGAGGCTTTGCTGGTGAACTCCAACAGTCGGACCTGCTGATGACACGTCGTTGTTTTGGAATTTTCAATGGGTTCTATGGGACTTTAATTGAATGTATGTGTTTGTTTTAAACCCTATATGTGTATTCTTTTGACTTTTTATAGTTATTTTACACTAATTTGGAATACAATTGGAAAGCATCACATCCTTTAAACGGCAGCGTAAAAACGTGCCACCGTTCTTGGAGTGATCCAAAATGCTGTTGTCTTCTATATCAAGTCCGTTTATGGGCCTGTGTTGAACATATGAGGGTGCATTGGTGTCTGGAGAGGGGCCTAGTTACAAGTGTGTGTGTAAAGCAAATTCAAATGACCACAAGGGGACTATTGCAGTTATATCATAACAAAATATAAGTAACAATAATAACATGGTAATATTATTGTACACAGATAAATCTATCGACATCCCACATCTGATGCTTACCGTAATTTGAACCCTCAAGATTTCCTGAGATATCTAGAAAGTTCTGTGGGTGAGTAAGTTACTTAACATAAGTGAAGATGGAAGTTATAATACAATATATGTGAGCAAGCACCGAATAACAAATTAGAATTGCTTCAAATCATGTCTTTATTCTGAAATTATTTTTGTCCCTTTCAGGAAATTAAAAATATAAGAATCTCTTTTTTCTGTTTCTCACATTGGTATTTCACAGACGTTGAAATATATCTCCATAAATAAAGTACAAAATACATTTTTTTTTCTACAACACAAATAAATATCATAATAAATATATTAGTTTAAGTTAACAAGGCAACCAATGACCAAAGGAATACTGCGGTGTTAAAGGCCCTGAACCAGGTTGTCAAAGAAACAGGGGACAATAAAAAGAGGGGGTGGAATTTACAAGCTAGCGAAGATAACAGAATATTTTACAAAGTGTGTCAGATTCATATCTAAACTCACTGACCATCATTTTCTTTTCTGTTAACACACTTTGATCTTTAAGTATTTTGCATGCTCGCACCCCGAGTATCAGGAAAACGATATGGCTACACATATACACTCACACACGCACATGTACAGACACACACACACGCACACACACACACAGAGCAGAGTGAAGAATGAAGCTTTGGTTGAATGCTACTGGGAGTTTTTCCCATTTGGATTAGCTGTAAAGTGCATATCACAGATAAAATGGCATCAATGACACATGTCAAGTCTCACTGATTAAGGCTACTGAATCAAACTTACTGTTTTTTGGCACCGAGAGTAAATGGCCTATGAGGCAGGGAGAATCTTAAAGACACAAGAGTGAATGATTATTGCTAAAGATTAGCCAGAATAACTACAGATTAACAGTAAGGGCAAACCAGGCTATTAACTGGTACTGGCAACACCTGCAAAAGAGTTAATTTTCTTATGGAAGACCACATACAAAGGCCTGATAGTATAAAAATAGAGTCTGATAACATGTGGATTCTTAAATCATCTCAGTATGTAGTTTATCCCAAGATGAGCTCCGTTATTATGAAGATAAATCAAGAACATTAAGTGTTGTTGTGTCAACTCGACTCGTCCTGAACACTTCTGGTTCTGAAGAGACGTTCAGAACAACAGAAACGTGTCAGTTCTCCTCCGTTCCCTCTCTTTGGACCCGTCTAGTCGGACAGGGACAGGCGTTCGAACACAGTGAGCCGCTTGGTGGCTGCGTCGAACGTCGGGGACTCGGTTCCACTGGAGCCTCCGCTGCTGCTGCTGCTGCTGTAGCTGTCCTCCAGGGAGTCCTCCGAGGAGAAACGCTGCAGCGCGCCGGGCTTCATGAAGCCTCTTTGGGCTCCGGGACCAGGAAACGGCGCGCCGGCGTCCTGGTGGTGCCCTTCGTCCACGCTGGCGGCTCTGCTGTTGTTGCTGTTATAGTTATTTCCATGGCCGCACACGCAGTGGGAGCTTTTGGGCTCCAGGATGAGAGGGATGTTGTGGATGTCTCCGGTGCTGGCGCGGGTCTGATGGCTGCCAAACTGGAACGCCGCCGCCTCCCGTTGCAGGGAGTCGGCAAACACTGGGGAGCGAAGGTCAGCGGGAGGGGGAGAAACGGACGGGGCGCGGCTGAAGCCCAGGTTGGGGTCGATGACGGACGAAAGGAACGATGCAGGAGGTGAGCAGCGCGACGAGCCCAGGAACCCGGCGAAGCTGACACTCTGGCGCAGCTGGTGCCGCGGATTCTGGCCCCCGGTGGTGTTGGGAATTTGCTGCTGCTGATTGGCGAACTTGGCAGTGGACAACGGACTGCCGCTGAGTTTGTCCTCGTGGATGAAGTGGCAGCGTGACCCGTAGGGGCAGTAGCCAAAGTTGTAGAAGGTTCTGCAGGGCTCCGTCTTGTACTTGGGGTGGCGGAACAGTCCACGCAGCTCCGCCTCGCCGTGGGCAAACTGGCACTTGCTGCCGTACTTGCAGCTGCCCGTCTCCTGGAAGCCGCGGCACAGCTCCGTCTTGTAACGATTGGGGGCCACCACTTGCGGAACCAGGGCCGCCAGGTTCGATGAGGGAGGGAAGCCGGGCGGGGGAGCCACGGTGGAGGCGGAAGGAAAGGCCTCCAGGTTCAGCGGTCCGAAGGAGGACAGCAGGCTGCTGCTGGACTCGGTCAGGCTCATGGAGCGGTCGGGTCTGTAGGGGAGCTGTTTAGATTTTGAGACGGGGCCCTGGCTCCAGATGTTGGATGACCAGAAAGGGCTGCCGCTGTCGGTGTTGTTGACATGGTCGGTGCTCAAGCTGTGGCTCGAGGAGGAAGGAGGGGTGGGGGAGGAGAAGAAGGAGTCTGTCCTGTTCAGCCGACTCTGCCCCGGGCCTTTGAGTTGAGACTGTTTAGGGAAGGCATCTTCCAGAGCCAGGTTAATGAAGTTCTGTTACGAAAGGTTTATATGGTTAATAAACAGACCTCGATGCTGCTCATTTCAAAGCTAAATACATTTAATCACCGTTTTTACAACAGATTTAAATTCAGCATAAAGGCTGAAAAAGATTATTTTCTAAAGAATGCAATGAGACAAAATGGCCAAACAATCCCAACAATGAAAAAGGCAATAATAAAAAAAAGTAAAAAAACATACAGCACTTGAGTCTTTATGTCCCAAAATTCAAATTAAATGTATATAATAGCGTTTTTTTTAATTTTTTTTTACAGTTTTTCTATCTAATGAATATGCTGATAGTGAAGCCTGCACTGAATATCAGCCTTATCGTATTAACTCTTTAAACTGAAAAAAATCCCCTGTGACTAAACTCAGTTCAAACAGGAGTTCACTTTCAAATCAGCGACCCACAGAAAAAATAAAATGAGCAGGATTAAACAAATAAACAACCACTTTGGCAGAGGTTCTACGGAGTGGTCCCATTCCAACTTTACGAGCCCTTTCCTCCCCCCCCCCAAACCAATGAAAACCTCCTTAACTTCAACTCACCTTGGTGAAGATATCGTCAAGCATTTCGGACATGCTGTATCCCCTTGGCCAAAAGCAGAAGGTTTTAGTTCTGGTCCACGGCTGACTGTCAGATCCTTGTGTCCAGACTCAAGTCAAGTTAGATCTGTGCTCTGCTGCGCTGGGCCTTTTATCTGCCTCTTAGCTCCTCCCCCTGAGCTCAGCGTGAGTTCCAGCTCGCTATGTTCCCGGATGATCCTGCCTCCACCTCAAGTTTCACAGTGAGCTCAGAGAAGGGCGGGTAGAACAACAACATCAACAACGAAAAAACAGACAGAAACGGTGTATTTTTAGTCAGCTGTGCGAAATACTTTAGTTTCATAGGCATCTGGAAGCCACGGCGCTTATTTACATAGAGCTCATGCACGCTCCAGCTGAGCCAATAGCACACACTTGCTCTGTGTTTACTCTTGATCTGTACGTCGTCATTCTGCACCCGAGTCATGTGACGTTCGGATTCGATGACATTTCTCAGAAAGTGAAGGAAGCTATAAGTCGTTCCTTTTCATCCCACAGTACATTTAGGTAATTACGGTATATACATTCGTGTGACTAATGGTGTTTTTTTTAGGAAGTGTAATAAATCACCATGTTTCAATCACATACCGTGAAGTTTCTCAGCATTTTAACCCACAGAGAAAGAGTCATTGTTTACCAGAATCCACACTCCTACATCTCCCCTTATTTCCTTTGGTTTCTGTATTTCAATCAGCCTGCAACATTCCACCAAAACAGTTATCAGAAACACCACCAATTGTAACATTGATTATTGGAAAGCGGAAACCTTTGTGCTGGAAATAAGATAAAAGTGAGTAAAAATTAATACTCGAGCACGGAATCAACATGAACACTGGACTCTTATCTGCTCTTATTTTTTATTCAAGACGCACAACGAACGTTGTCTTTTTCGTTTCCTTCTAATAGGAATTTAGAGGCGCTCGGCAGCTGCTTTTCCCGCAAGAATGTACTACTGTAACATAATGAGTGTTATGTGACCTTGTGGTATGTTCTTCGGCTCTATTGTACTCACACTTAGGTTGTTCCCTTGACTCACACGTTACAAAAGCTGTATTATCACAGTCTTACCTGACTTTCAAGTCCGATATGTCACGCGCTCTTTTCTTGTAGCATACATTTACACGTTGATGCCGCTTACAACAATAAATTTGTCAACTGCATAGCTGTGCATGTTGATGAGTCATTTTTTAAAACTGAATCTTCATGAATTCAGACCGATACGTGAGTATTTTGACTTTGACTTACGATATATGAGGAAACCGGGGGTGATTAGGGAGATCAAAATAATTATAGGCTGCAGATCTGACTAACCTCAAAGAAATGACAAAGCACTAAATAACCTGATATTATTTTGGCATATTCATTTGACTTAATTTTCTATTTTCTAATTTTGAAACTTTTTGCTGATACCCGTAAATTGTGACATTATTCTCTTCACTGCTGCTTCTGCATATTTCACCCACTCGCATGAGTCACGTTCAGTCCTGGCAATGACTGTGCTTACGCTGTAATACATGTTGTGTAAGTGTAGAAACTTTAACTGCTTAATGCTCACGCATGACGGTAAATGGAAGAGTCTCCCCCCGGAGAGGACCTCGAACGGTATATTCCATGATGACTGTTGACTAAAATGTTATTTGTCATGTAAAAACGGTCTCATTCTTTGTCATACTAATGAGGTTTGACATATACGTCAAAAGAATCATTCATTCGGCCTAAAATGCATGAAAAAAGAGACATTAAAAGTGTGAAGCAAAGTAAGGTTTTCTTAACATATATTCTATAAAATGAAAAAAAGTCAGATTTATGCCACTGATCACCACTCACAGTCCTCTCACGCAGACATGTGTACACATTGACATTGGCTAGGGCCTAGCTGGCTTTCAGCTATTAATAAATGCAGCGAGATAGACCTCATTAACCTAACTTGTACATCGGACAGCATTTGGGAAACACAAAGTAAAGTGAGCTAGTGGCCGAATCGACATGTGCTTGTGTGTTGTGTATGTATCTGTGTGTGTGTGTGTGTGTGGTGTGGATACTCTTCTTGTTTCTGTTCTGCCTCGGTTGCATAGAAAGTCACTCCAACAGGGAGGGGCCTCACTCACTCACTCACACACACACATCCTCACGCAAACACAAACTTAAAGGAGCATTCCTGCTGGTTGTTGCTTCCAAGTTGTGTTATTCTTTTCCCATTTGGTGACAGAGTGAGCGAGTGTTGAATGCCAGGTTTTCCGCTGGGATTTGTCTTAAGTGACATGCCAGCGTACATGCAGCTTTCCAACATGTTTGGACCTGATCCCACAACACTGCGTCAGACATGCTATAAAAGAGAGTGGCTGTGGGTAAATTTGTAATATTAGACAGGAGTATGTAATAGGTTGCAAAGCAGTGACTAATCCGCGGAACAAAAAGTCCTCCATGAAAAACATGATATAAAACCTGAGCAATTATTGTTTTAATGGTAAGATGTGGGAGTATTTTCTGATATTCAGGAGCAATACGGGCCTGAATATGACAATATTTTTATTCCATAGCATAACATTGACCCACTTGTCTAATCTTCCAATAAAATAAAATATTTAATTTCTTCAATGGCTGGGTTTTTATAATTTCCTCTTGTGCTAAAAAACAAGGCTGCACATAAGGGAACCTATTATGTATTTGTACTCTAAAACATCATACAAATAGAGAAGAAGCTGCTACAGATCACACAGATCACACACATCCAGTGTGCGTGCACTGTGTCATGCACTGCAACTGTGCGGTGTCACTGAGCTGTAGAGATGGATCATTAACTAGGCCCATGTTTATCCGTATCAACCATGAACTCAGTCAAGAGGCTAGATCATCTTTTTCTGACTTTTAGATGCCATTTGAAATGATTCTACATAATTACACAGAGGTACAACTATGTTGGGGCGTTCAAAAGATGTCCAAAAGAACATATTCATTACTGTTGACATTAAGACTGAATTGCACCAACGGTTCCTGGAGAATTAGTGCTGTTTTGTCCCCAAACGACAGAAACAGAAAGTGACATTTTAGAGTCTGACTCACCCTTTATGGCCGTAAACTGCTAAGTCATTATCACACGGTACCTGGTGGCAGCCAGACGAGTAGAAAATACAAATATGGCTCCCAAAGAGCCTCACTGGTTTCTGTGGTGCTAAAACAAAGCTCATGCTGGTGGCATTGATGATTGTTATTCTAGTGTTTAATTTAATTTTTTTAAATCTTAAATGAAATGAAACCTTTCTCTTAGTTTCTATTGCCTTTCTCCTTTTCATTTCCTGTATCCCCGTGTCCCCGGCCCAGTTTCGCCTTGAGCCCCTGACACGATACGTTTACTTGTGCCTCTATTAAGTGATTCTTTGCAAATATTTAACCCTGCCCTCCATAACATCGCTATGGTGACATGCCAAACATTGCACACAGAAGCAGGCATGGGTTCAACAGTCCCTAAGCAACAGCTGTAGAGCAGGTTTGCGGAGCTAACCGAGCCGCCTGTGCCTCTGAATTTAGCAGGTGATGCATCAGGATAAGAGAGAAAGATGGAAGAGGAGCGAAGGGAGCACGAGGAGGGAGGAAAGAAAGTGAGTCAGTGGCTTTAGTTGGTCGGGAGTTGATATTATAGGCCGGGGAAAGTACCTGCCTTCCCTGATGCAGTATATGTGCAGAGGCAGGCACACAGTGTCTCCATTTTTATCCTTTATGCGTTAACAGATAAGAGGGATCCTTGTGGGATTTGATAGTGACTGTGGACTTTGGAAATCATACCATGAACACACCTACACGGAACGCCACAATGCTGTGTGATCGTGCAAACACACAAACACACACACACACACACACACGCCGCAGACAGGGTCATTCGATCTGACGGAATCAGTCTTCATTCGAGGAACAAATGACTCCGATTCCTTTCGTTGCTTACGAGCTGTGAAGGCGCTGCAGCCACGATGTAAACAGATTTAAGACGAACCAGAGCAATTCAATGAAGACTTTATTAATAATAAAAATCTGCTGTATATTAAAGTTAAACACATTTGCGGGTGCCGGGAAATCTCCAGAAATCCCAGCATGTTGTAACAATCACCTGATTTCATGTTAATATCGGCCCACGACATCCAGAGTGAAGCAGGAGCATCATTACCAGTAATCTGGCTGGTCAGAATGGAGGATGACTGAGTTTCTGTACGTGTCAGTAGGAGAGGAGCAGACAAAGAATCACTAATCCTTCTTTTGGCAATCCTAGTCTGGTGAGCTGCATTCTCGAGGGTAGTCGTACTACCGCCTCACGTCCTCGAGTCAAATGCTTGACCCCACCTATTGTCACAGTTGTCTCAGTTGTTTTCAATTGTGTCCTTTTCTGCCTTTGTTTTTAAGGTTGAGTCATTTTAATCATCAAAAATTGTGGTATTTGAAAAATCGAGGGGTATGAAAACCACTATATAATGATATATAGAGCACATTGATGTGTCTCAATACTGAGTGTGATATCTGATTCTTCTCAGGTTGTATTTGTCTTGTCCCATATTTCAGTCATTTTGTTATTCCGCATTTACACAGAGAAACGCCCCGGCTGTTACATTGCAACATAACAAAATGATAATGTTTTTTAAAATTCACATGGTCCCACTGCCCGAGGTCACACTGAGGATGTATTGTCTGAGAAGGTCAGACTGTGACGCAGCACCAAAGGTATAGCTTGTTGCACACATCAGCCTGACGGGTTGGGCTTGTTTCTGCAGGGTTTTGTGATCCCGTGATCAGGCTTGATGCAACGAAACACCTCGAAGCAACACTAAAAAAGTATTCACACATCTTTTATCCCAGATGCACGAGGGAGGAGGGGGGGGGGACCTCTGATGAAAATAATAATTTGGGCTTCACATTTTCAAACCCAAGATACTAAAGGTTTTCAAATAAAGCTTTCATCAGTGTGGCAATTCCAGTTAAATATGTATTACTTGCGAGGCTCATCAGTAATGAGGACATATCTGCTTCCTCTTTGGGTATAGAAATGTAATTTTGGAGGAATTTCTGCTCTGGGCCGAACTTATTTGACAGATGTTCACACAGGAATAGTAATAACTCAAATGGTGTGCTGGATTTTACTGTGACAGCTGCAATAGCAATTTAGGATAATACTGCACTTATTTTCCAGCAAGTTA